CAGCGCACACGAGATGCCCTGCAGAAGTCTGTTCAGCTGGCGATTGAGATCACGAGCAATTCTCAAGAGGCCGCCGCCAGGTAGCCATTTCTTTTTCACGTTTTTTTCCTGTTGTTCGTAATTATACAAGAAACTTTGTTTTCTATACACGTTGCTCCACGGCTATTTCGTGGTACTCATAGTACTGTGTTTTCATGCTTTTATTCGGACTTTATTATCGCTGAACCCATTTCATTGTTTGATAAGTATCCCTAATTTTGCTTCCTTTATAAAACTTACACAGCATTACTAAATTTTATGCTATCCAAAATGAGTAGCGTTGGGGGTGTTTTCCTCGCATCGAAGATGGCCACAAAAATGAGATCAGAGGGAATACGCTAAGTCGCACTGCTCGCATCCTCTCTGAACGAATGAACTCTGTTTGCACTAGCATGAATCTGCAAAGGGGCTACCTTCAGCCAGTGAACGTTTCAGGTAGTTTTATGGAGGCTGCAGAATTCGACCGCGAATGGGGTGGGCAACTGGTCCATCTTTTTCCCTATCCCCCTACTGTTCTTCCCATGGAAGTGTAATTAGTTCTCTGTGAAATTTGATGCTCTGTGGTCAGTTAACATAGGCGCTGCTCTTTCTACTGCGTTCAGACAGGAGGCTGAGCGACTGGATCAGGAAGCTCGCGGGAAGCTAGAACGCCAGCGTATTGACGATGAGGCAAGGGCTGAGGAGGCCCGACGTGGTCTGCTGGAACTACAGGTGCAATTGGCTGCTCTGGAGAGCACCGGTCAGGCCAAGGCAGAAGCTCAAAGTCGTGTGGATGCCGCTTTTATTACCACTCAGGCGGAGGTGGAAAAGGCCAAACTGGAGGCTGAAGCGGAGAAGATTAGAACTGTAAGCTGAGTCTGGCCGCCCTCTTTCGTTTATCCTCTTTCCACGGTTTTTTTGCCCCCATTCACACCTCTTTGTTCGGTTGTCCTTTAGGACGCGGAGCTGGAACGTTTGAAGCTGGCCCGTGAGGCGGAGTTGGATTATCTACAAACGAAGGACCAACTGAACCTCAACTGCAAACAACAGGATGTGGAGATTGAGACGGCCTACTTCCTCAAGCGCGTTGGAGCCTTGGGCGCAGAGAATCTGCGTCATATTGCCTGCGCCGGATCAGAGCGTGATGTGCGCATGTTACGTGCTCTCAACCTACAGAGCACCCTCATTACAGACGGCCGGTCGCCAGTGAACCTGTTGGACGCCACCTCGGGTTTGATTGGTCAGGCCAGGAGTACCGTTCACGTCCGCCAGCTCGAGACTGCTGCGCCAGACCCCACCACAGAGGACGATACTTAGCTCACCATCTTTGCCTATCCTCTTTTTTGTCTTTCATATGTGTTTCTTTAACCATGGATTTTTGACATTCATGTTTTTTAACCATTTTAAATGCTTTCGATTTGTGTTAAAGAATAAAACTCCTCTTGACAAGTGTCTTCGTCTTAACCGGTATGCCTAGAGTGACTGATGCCAGGAGCGTTTGACGCACCTTCTTTTAGTAAGAAGTAGCTTCTGTTTATTTTTAGCAGGTGCTGAGACCCCAGGCAGGCAGGCCGCCATGTAGAACAGTTTAAATTTTAGACTGGGGCAAATCCGACCGCTGGTTTAATTTAGCTGACTTTATATCCCATGTGCGT